AGAAACTAACCTTGACTGTTTGATTATAAGGATTTCCTGCTTCGGGTGCACTGTAAATCATAGCCCCAACATCTACAGTCATGATCTCTCGCAGAAATTTAACAGTGCCATAATCTCCCAGTTTTCCTCGCCATTGGTCATTTTGTTTCCATAGCAACACATTAGCACTACTAACGTCACGGTGAACAATGGCTTTGGGTTTTCTTTGGTGAAGGTAGTTAAGGGCGTGAGCTACGTCCAACGAAATGGTAGTGATTTCTTTTCCACATAGCCGACGTTTCCCAAACAATTTCCGCAAGCTTAATTCCATCAACTCCGTCACAAACAAAGGTGATTCTCCTTGAGTTGCACCTATGAACTGTAACAAGCATGGATGACGGCACCTTGAAGCAATGTCCATTTCCCTTTCAAACAGTTCACGTTCTCGTGGAGTAAAAGTCAAGCTCTTAAGTGCTTTTACAGCAACGACAAAACCACGATATTTGCCTATAAAAACCTTTCCGTAGCCCCCCTCTCCTAGGAATTTTTCGCTCATAATTTCAATTTCGTCTCGAGAAATCAACCATTCACGTGTCGTTAACAGGGACTCACATTTGCTTAATTTTTCTTTAGCTGTGGAAAGCTCCCTTTGAAGTTCAACATTGTCTTGTTCGCAATCTCTCAGCTCTTTTTCCAAATCTGCAAGTTCTTTTAGCTTCAAATGAAACTGTTTCTGGAAGTTAACACTCTCTTTCTCTCCATCACCTCGAAAAATGGTCAGATGGCTTTGTGTATTTTGTTGTTGCTCATCTTTCTCTCTCACTTGCTCTTCTAATTCCATCACCTGTCTTTCTATGTTCTGTATATGTTTCTCCTTCTCTCTAAGCTCTAGTAAATGTTCCCGGCAACTTTGAGATTCATTCCGTTGTACCACTTTAAAAAAAGCACTTTCTTTGAGTGTCAATGTATTTAGCACGGAAGTACTAATTGGGGACACTATTTTTATGTCTCCTACTGGAGACAGGAGACCGCCATTTTACGTGGTCATCCCTGTCACGCGAAGGTCTAGCCGTTAACAGGGCAAAGGGAGTATCTTTATTTCCCACTTATTTTAAGTTCATCTGGTGAATTAAGGAATGGGGCACTGCAAATTTGGTGAAGGGTGGTCTGTTTTAGTAGGGATTTTACCTTTCGCACAAAAATTTTAAACTTAAAATCTACTCTCCATAAGCATTCATCTTTCATTATTACTAATGTGTTATCTTTGTCACGTGACTTGCCACACCCGTTTTTGACTTTTTATTTCAATCCAAATTTACACCACTTTTTAAATAACACTTGCAATTCAATTTATTTTTTGTCAATGACTATTGTCACAGAGTTTTTTTGGAATTAGTCGGAGTTTTCTTAAATTATCTACATTTTTTAAACTATAACGTTTCTTGTTAAGAGGGAGGCTGGGACGAGAGAAAGATATCGAATAATTACGAAGGAATTGACCATTTCACAAATCCCCGATCAATTCCGCTTATTGACTGTAAATGAAACATTATGGAAGGAAAAACGATGGTGTTCACATTCACTACCGTGGTGTAATCTGCAAAGTCCAAATTTTGCATAATTATGGGCGTGACTGATCACGTGATCTTAAGAAAATGGAGTTAAAAGGCCATTTACATTTACATTTTTGAAAAGCTTAAATGCTTCAAAGTTGTAAAAGCTTCCTCACCTTTTGGACCTGAGCATTTTTTCAGGGTGATGACTTTAGTTTTAATCGTTTGGCATAACTTTATTTTCTTGTGAAGAACCAGGCCTAATATGATCAACACTAATAGCATTATGACAGCACGATACGCCCAAATCTCATACTGAGACATCTTTTTTGCTTTAATATTGGCTGGTATTGGGTTAAGGTCAACTGCAAAATATAAATTAGTAAGAACATTAAGGTGGCTCGACTGGATTTTTTTAGGGCGATACCTCCCAAGTTTGAGCCTTAACTACGTCGGCATGAGTAAAGATATCGAAAAAAGGTTACCACAACTGTATTACATAAAGATGAAAATTTCTTATGATCTGGGTTTTATTGCAATCGGAGTCGCCATGGCAACGTAATGATGCCATTACGTTTTTCATTTATCCTTGTGTTTCTCTGTACCAGGAGTTTTTTTGAAGAAATCGCTTAAGGGAGTATGTACCTGCCATAATTGCCTCCATTATGGCAAAGTTTAAAGAAATTCTATGAGAGCGTTTTCGAAATATTTTGAAATACACTTTTAAGAATCATAAAAACAGTGAAATAGCATGCTAGCCGCTCAATTCGCTAATATATTAAGAAAATGATAAGCTTTGGGAACGCGGCTTCATCTCATAGTGGATTGATTCCATTGAAAACTGCATACAAAAAAAGAGGGGAATTGCTCTGGGCGATCGCGAGTAAGAAGAATTTTATTAACTTGCATTCAGCTGCTTTTGATACAGTTTTTGGAGGTAATTTGGTCCATGCCTAAAAATTTCCCATTTTTCCAAAAACCGCTCGATAAATTTTTTTATAAATTCGACAATTCCGAGATCAATCGTCAAGAAATATTCCCTGCAAGTTTTAAGAACATTGAAAACAGGGAAGGCTTTTAAATAGGGCCTCAAATATAGCCAATTTTCCCCCCAGATTTTGTGTTTACAAGTGAGCGTCCTCATTATTCACTGGCATTGTTTTCAAGTTTCATATACACGTGCACATTTAGCAAAAAGATAGAATTTGCATCAAAAAGGACCCTCGGTTAAATCTTCGGGATATGCTAATTACCGGGTAAAGAGGTTAGTGATACATTATAACATCAGAGCAACTCTTTGTGAGAGTTTCTGTGATGTTATAACCCGAGTAAGATAATTAAGTATTGCATCCTACACGATGAGCCGAGACGTTCACCGTTTCGGCTCTCACTGCTATCTCTGACGACAAGCCAATTATCAGCATATACCGGATATTTCTTCGGAAAGTAATCGAGAGTTCTTTTTGATGCAAATTTATATTTTTTGCTAGTTGTGCACGTGCATATGAAACTTGAAAACAATGCCAGTGAATAATGAGGACGCTCACTTGTAAACACAAAATCTGGGGGGAAAATTGGTTATGTTTGAGTCCCTATTTAAAAGCCTTCCCGGTTTTCAATGTTCTTGAAACTTGCAGGGAATATTTCTTGACGATTGATCTCGGAATTGTCGAATTTATAAAAAAATTTATCGAGCGGTTTTTGGAAAAATGCGAAATTCTTAGGCATGGACCAAATTACCTCCAAAAACTGTATCAAAAGCAGCTGAATGCAAGTTAATAAAATTCTTCTTACTCGCGATCGCCCAGAGCAATTCCCCTCTTTTTTTGTATGCAGTTTTCAATGGAATCAATCCACTATGAGATGAAGCCGCGTTCCCAAAGCTTATCATTTTCTTAATATATTAGCGAATTGAGCGGCTAGCATGCTATTTCACTGTTTTTATGATTCTTAAAAGTGTATTTCAAAATATTTCGAAAACGCTCTCATAGAATTTCTTTAAACTTTGCCATAATGGAGGCAATTATGGTAGGTACATACTCCCTTAAGCGATTTCTTCAAAAAACTCCTGGTACAGAGAAACACAAGGATAAATGAAAAACGTAATGGCATCATTATGTTGCCATGGCGACTCCCATTGCAATAAAACCCAGATCTTAACAAATTTTCATCTTTATGTAATACAATTGTGGTAACCTTTTTTCGATATCTTTACTCATGCCGACGTAGTTAATGCTCAAACTTGGGAGGTATCAACCCCAAAAAATCCAGTCGAGCCACCTTAATTCCTTTCAAGAGACTATAAAGGGGACAGAGAGGGCATCCCCCATATACACCCTATTCCATAGGTAATTCGTCTCGAGTTATTTTTAACACCACAGATCTCAAGGGGGATTAGACAACAGCCAATCACATAGCGCAAGTGTGTTCCGCGTGGATGACCCACGCTGAGAGCCACGCGTCCGTCACGAAATGACGCAGAACAAAATGGGGGAAGACGCGGAGAGCGATTTTGCTATTCCTTTTGTCGACGAAAACGACTACAGCGAGATTTCTGCGAAAGCTGTGTCAGCGAAACCGAAATTAAAAAAGAATCGCCCTTCCTCTCTTGTATAGAGCTAACAGTAGAGCAGGGAAATCCCTAACACACTGAATATTCTCTCAGGATCATTTATAATTTACAGTTTAAAGAGAGCAATTTCTGGTCTTATGTTTATTTTTTTCAGTCTTTATAGCGATTATTCCTACCCACTTACTTTGTCAATTATAGGCGAACCCTCCTAAAGCTGAATTTCAAGGGACCATATTCAAGCTCAGAAAGAGAAATAAAATTTCGTCGTTGATTATTTACGTCCTCCATAAAACGCGAAATTACGCATTTTCACGTCGTAGTCGTGCAAAAAGGGGAAAGAAATGAACAAAAAAGTGTGTTGCACGTGCGAAGTTGTTGTTTTGCTAATTAAACCTATTGTTTTTTTTTGACGTTCTAGTTGTCGTCCGCGTCGTTGGATCTTAAACTCCCTAAATTGTACAAAAGACCGGTTTCAATAGACCGGCGAAATTTCTCATTTTATTAAAGCACTGAGGTTACGACAACTTCGAGTTAAACTGATTTCACGGGTTGTCAAAGAGTCCAGCGATTCCTTTTTCCCAGGTGAGAGCCGACTCATTTCGTTTCAATATTCAGGAATGCTCTCGATCTTTTTACGCTTTCATTGCCTCTCGCCCGACATGTTTTGCACGGCGTTTGGTCATGCGAAACCTCCACGAAACATCCACGTCTCGCGCGAGGTAACTTTATCCCGATTCTAAAAATAACTCGAGACGAATTACCTATGGAATAGGGTGTATATGGGGGATGCCCTCTCTGTCCCCTTCATAATCTCTTGTTCCTTTTTATAACAACTATCAATGAAAGGACATGAAGCAAATTATGGCAAGAAAAAAGTACTCTCACACTTTTATACAAAGTCCTGGCAGCAAAAAGCTGCAGTAAAAGTCTAAAACTAAAACTACAAGTTTACAGAGCAGCTGGTAGTTTTTGGAATTGGCTGAGATTCGTAACCCTTCCCGTCCAAGAGTACCACATCTTTGGTCTCCTCAAATTCCTGAGAGTGGCATATGGCTCTTTTCGGTGTACTCAATTCTAACCAATCAGACATGCTTATTTCTTTTGTTGTAGAAACTCTAATGTGCTATGACCAACAGGAAAACAGTCAAGACTTGGTTTGCACTAACTATCAGGGATGGTGTTCATACATTTCTTAAAAGAATTTAATGGTTGAAATTTTCAACCTCTTGATTTAGTAATGAATCAATCATTGGAAAGAATTTTTTACTATGGATAAGTGAGCCCAGAATTTTTTTCTGTGCGTCTGGGTGATAAAATTCTCTTTAAACTTTGATTATAAGATAATCAACAAGACAATGTACACGTTTTGGACTCTCTTCTAAAGGAGACAAAGAAAATAAAGAATCAACCAAGATTAAAAACTGTTATTATTCATTCAAAATATTTCCCCGATTCTGATTGGCTAAAAGCACACGCATAATTCACCATAACCAACTACTGATGACCAAACTTGGAAGAATTTTGCGTTTAATGAACCGATGACGTCAAAAGTGCAGCTTTCTTGCAAGTTAATGCACCGTCAACCGAGACGACATGGGGACGAGGTTGAGTAGTTTTGGTTGTGAAAACAAAAAATTAAGGTAGACAATAAACTCGTTTCAAGAGTAAAAACTAGGCGTAATAAAAGCTAAAAATATGGCAAGAACGGCAAGAAGACAACTCGAAGGGCTACATCTGCTGTTTGGAGAATATTTGCGGAGCTGAACAACCCTAAACGTGCACTATCGAAGATGAACTTAACATCGATGGTTCGATGGAGGTAAGCATGTTTTAGCCATGTTTTTAAACTAGGAATTGTTTTGCGTGAATAATACAACAATTATTGAATTCAGCTTTCGTATCATATGAAGAATTATGGAGATCTCGGAGGGTGTTATCTGCCTCGGTTTACGGCCTCGACGGATAACACCCTTCTCGATCTCCATAATTCTTCATAAGAAACTCAGCCTCATTCATTAATTGTTAATTAACCTGAATTTAATTTTGTCTTGTAACAATTACATGGCATGTACAGTACCTCTTTCAACACGCTTAGTCCCAGTAACTGGTTCTTGAGAGTTAATATGTGGAGAAGAGGGAGGGCATGTACTTGTTGCACGTTTCCTACAAACAGTGTTTCGTTTTGGCGAACACTCCTCCACCACAAACTCTCCTTTATGGCAGCGATCACATGGTACACACTTATTATTTGATAAAAAGTTTTCCTGAAAAGATAATAACATAAAGACAGTTGCAGAAGAACCACAAATTAAAACAAAAAACTGCAAATGGACAACATGATATCTTCACATGAAAAAATAACATGTTATCTTTGCACGTGCTATGGCTACAAAACAAGATAAATCGCACCTTTCGCAGAAAGAAAACGAGATATGTGAAATGGTTTGGTATTTCAGTGGTGTTTATACATAAGAAATAGAACATTACCAGATACAAAATTTTCTCTCTCGTGTCCAAATATATTTATCATATTACCGTCCAATATAGCTCTCGACCAATCGCAAGGCTGTCCGCTAGCAGTGTCCGGTGGCTCCAATGAACTTTTGCTCCTAAGTCACTAGAAAATCTTCGACTTTCTTCATATAAATCATATGCTTTGCACCGTGACCCTGGATTTCACAGGTTCAGAGGTCTGTGCTCTCTGAAAGCACAGCCTTGAATCGGTGTGCAAGAAATCCTCAGTTGTTGTAAATCACTCCTGAGTTCAAACCATTTACTGTATTCTCGGTTTTCACAAGGACGTCACCAAAATTCAAACTAAGAAACTATTGATTCTTCTGAGTTTCTACTTTCATGAGGTATTACACAACCTAAACACTTTTGTTTATACAAATTGCCAGGAAAGCTCTTACGTGGGTTAAAAATGTTACCGACATTCCTTGTCTCAGAATAAATATTACTAATAATCTTCATGAGTTCCTCAAGCAATGAATACATGCATCTGTAGGAAAACTCAAATTAGACAGATGTTTCTGTTGGTTTCTGGCGGCCAGATTTGTGCCCCTCAAAGGGACACCAACGTAGTGCTGTCATACAAAGCTAAATAAATTTTGGTAAAATTCCTAATACCTAGCATACAACATATCGCAAAGATTCCTTGGCGAGGCTTCTTTTATTTCCCAGGTTCTAGACTTTCTGTATTAAAAGTGAAAACAGAGAATTAACAACATGAACCCGATCACATAAAAGCAGCCTACAGCTATTTTCTTACCTTGCCGCAAGTCTTACATACTGCATCCTTGTGTTTTTGACAACGAGATACCAATACTTGGCCCTTTTTTATACAAGATGTGCATTTTTTACATTGAAGTGAATGCCAATCCCGATAATAGTTATCTGAACAATCGCATTGAATATCACTAGCTAAAGAGCACTTTTTCACTATTGTTTTCTTCTGATCTCGACAGGATGTTCTACAGTTGCGACATGCCGTATCTTTATTTTCTTTGGCATTGTATGTGCCTGAACGGCAAGGCGAGCACTGTGTGTCGTTACCTGAAGTCTGGCATTCTTTGCTCATAAAGTGGCCTGCAGGACAAAGATTGCAGCAACGTCCAGAAACTGATGAACGAAACTGTCCTGTAGGACAACTCAGTCCACACACCAGGCCACATGCTGCAAAACACTGAAACAGAATGCAAAGAAATATATTGTCTCTGTTAATGCAAAATGAGGCACTCCAATATTACTTTCTTTCAGAAGTTCTGAGCAACTGAAAGGTTACAACCATCACAGAATTTTCATAAGAAAATCACACGTCACATGTTGTGAAAATAGGAAATCACCCATCATGCTGCTATGCATCAAGCTGATAATTTGGGTCCCATTAATAATAAACAAGTCACGGAAAACCTCCTTGCCACCCTGTCCCTTCTCCATCCATCTTATTCTTCACAGCGAAATTAATCAACGATAGATTGTATAAATTACAGCTGAACCTCTCCACAATTGCCATCTTGGGGACAGACCAAAGTGGCCGCTGTAGAGAGATTTAAACAAGAGTCACTGTATAGACTGCTCGCAAAACAAAGTGGCAAATGTGAAGAGGTGGCCATTGTAGAAAGGTGGCCATTGTGGAGGGAGGAGGCCATTAGTGGAGGCTTGACTGTTAACCATTTAAGCCCCAATATCCACATACAAATTCTCCAAACTGATCTCTATATATTTCCTTAAAGAATGAGTTGAGAGAATTTGACAAAAGATCAAAGCATTTTCTCTTAGGTGATCATTTTATTAATTCTCATAACCTAATCTCTTGACATTGAACAGATATCATCAGGAGAAAATTGATGTTGGTCACTATTGGGACTTAAAGTGTTAACACACTGTAACACTTCACGTAGACTGATACATATTTGACCTGGTATGGTTTATTCACATATTGGAAGTGTGGATTTGTTTTTGATCTTCGGCTGCATGACCTTCAATTTCATGTAAATTCAAACCTATGAAAATTCACCAAAATTTAGCAAAAAAAGTAGTTGGAAAAATATAAGTGATGTTGTAAGAAGAACTCAATTTCGCTTAATAAGTAACCTTTTCACCGCCATCAACTCTGTGGTTGCAAAAGCTCCATGGTGCTAAATGACCTGAATTATAAACACTTTCATTGAGAAATAATTTGAATTCCTCAAGGGAGTTATTAATAAACAAATATAAACAAAAAAGGTTTAAAAATAGCTAAATGCAAACCAAATATTGGTCTTAAAAGTAATGTCAATTCTTAGAAGTTAAAGTTTGAATTGAATAAAAGGTTTACAAATCGACCCAGCTAACTTTAGCTTAGTGGTGTATGAGCTGAGGTTTGATTAAGTCGAAAAAGGTGGAGGCTTCCTTGGTGTATGTAGCCTTGTCAAAAGTCAAGTGAAGCGTGGTTATGTTAATGATCGTTAGCTACCGATACTATCCTTGGTAACAATAAATTAAGATACAATAATAAAATGTTTCGCCAACAGAAAAATGTTTGCTTCTGTATTGAAGTAAGCTTGGGATGTCAACATTTTTGCCGCACATTATGAGAAAAAAATTCCACAAATTTAACCACGCTGTGAGCCTGTTCAAAAGTGCAAACGAAGCACTTTGCACTAAGGACAACATTTGCATTCGAGTTTACCATCAAATACGACACTACAACTTCAGTTTTGACAGTACAGACGACATATTTGAAGCAGAGGTTAAAAAATCCCTATTTCAGATGATTGTGGAGACAGCATAAATTAGATTTTCTAGTGGCCTAGTGGGTGTCTTAAGTCCATGTGTGTCAGACGACGCAGTTCTTTCGATTGAGGTTTGATATCTTTAACTAACAGCACAAACATTCACCTATCTTGTCCAAGAGAAACACGTACTCACCAAAAGGGCCACGAAAACACTTAACCTCATCGCATCTGCTAAGAAAACATCTCTTAAAACTAGAAAGTCACTAACCCAAGCGAAGAGTATTTGGCAGAAGAAATACTTGTGATGCAACTTATGGACTTCAAAAATAACACGCAATTCGATTGGCTACTCAACTGGCTTCAACTAGTATCCACCAATAGAATCGATTGTTAGAAACTACATTACTTCGGCATTCCAATACAAGTTTGCGCCACCGAGGGAAGGGAGCGGCTTCTTTGACTGTGTTTTCGTCATTACGGAAGTCCGTTTCTTTTTGACAAAAGATTTATTTTTTAATGAATATAACATTAATCTACAGAAATACAAGGCACAAAACTATTGGAGAACCATAAAATATCGTAGCAAAACCAAACCGAAGTAGGCGTACTAAAACCACGTGCACAAAACCTCTTTCCGGTCACCCGACTTTGCCCTAATCACAAAGGATATGTAAAAATATTTTCCTTTATCTCGGCTGTGTGCAGCAGCCGTTACTACTTGCCTTATCGGACTCATCGTATGTCTCACCTAACCCTCCTTTTTTGGTCTGAAAAAGGGTATACACTTTGCCTATTTTGGTCCGGAATCGGGTATGGTTTTCGAGGAAACTACGGAAGTGTATCAACGTATTTATCGTTTCAATTCCCAGTGAATAAGAATGAAGTAGAAATATGCGATTCGAAATGCAATTGACGAAATTTTTTTGTTTGCGCTCTAATCTACGAAATGATGACATAATTTCTGCCTAAAGGCCAGGTCTGAAAACGGGTTTGGATTTTAGAGGTCTGGTCTGAAAACGAGTGTGGAAAATAGTAATCAGTTTACACAACCTCGTTCCCAGGGTTCTCTCCTACCCGCCCTACGGAGAGAGAGAGAGAGAGAGAGAAGTTCAACGAACAGGGATTTTACCTTCAAAAAATTAACTCGCTTGTGTATAACTCAAGATCGTAGATTTTTAGCGATTGGTGTCATCGGTTAAACAGGCGACAACAATAGTGGTTGATTCCTTCTCTGGTAATTCACTTGTTTATCTGAAAGTTTTGTTTAGGCAGAAATTTCCCTTAGTTTCAGTTATAGTTGTAGTAGGGCTAGCAAATCTATCTTTCTGTTGCGATCACTGTGTGAACGTTGCGAATAAACCAGACAAAAAAATGTGCGACAAAGGACTCCTCCCTCAGAATTAATTTTGTTCTGGAGCAACATGACCAGCGTTTTCCAGGGTCTCTCGCTCTCTCGCTTCGTAAGGCGGGTAGGAGAGAACCCTGGGAACGAGGTTGTCGGTTACACATAGAGATTGTGTAGGGACCCTGTGACGTGATCTAAGAGAAAGAGGGCGGAACTGCATTGCAAGCAGTCTAGCCAGCGCCAGTTTTCAACGGGCAAATGGGACATCTGATCAATGACTGCGAAAACATGAAAAATGACAGGAGCCAGGGCCCAGGGGGTTCCTGCAGGAGCTGACAAGGGAACTCACAATCGCTGTCGGTGGTTTTGACTCTATGGGGTACCCACATAAACTGTGTGGCCCTTCCGTTGGAGTTAGGAGAAATGTAAGTAGTCGGCGGACACAGACGTACTTCCGATCGTCGCCATAAAGTTACTTTTCGGGTGGACAGTAGCCTGTTTCAGGCGTTCAGATAGTGGAGAGTGGTGAGAAGTATTAGAAACCGGTCATTATTTACCGCCTGGGGGGGGCGGGTTGGGGGCGCGGGGTCACTTGATTTTTAGAAGAGCAAAAGGGGGGATCAGTCGTAACTAAGAACCCAAAAGGCGGGGGTGACTGAAAACTTTGGAAGGATTCAGGGAACCACTCAAATTTGCTTGGGAAATGAAGACATGAGAGGGGGATCGCGAATATTAGGAGGAATCACTTCAGTGGGGGATCACTTCAAAGGGAAATTAGCCTGCGAAAACATCCGTTTCTCCTCACTCTTCGCCGCTGGGAACGTTTCGCGCGAAACGTCCCCAGCGGCGAAGAGCGAGGAGAAACGGATGTTTTCGCAGGCTAAAGGGAAATCGCCTAAATTTCACCTTGTTTAGCCGCAAATCCTCTCCCCCGGCCCTCCCAGGCGATAAATAATGACCGCTCCTTTTTAAAACGGCGAAAAAATAATTCCCCTCTACTTTTCATCGCTTTCTTTACTCCACACCGCTCCCCACTATCTGAACGGCCTGGAACAAGGTAGGTGGAGAGAAGCGACCGATATTAAAATGTATGGGTTCACTTCTTTGGCTAGTTATAGTTGACACTACGTCCGCAGCTGCCCCGCTGTGAGGAGCTTGGGTGCTTTTTATTTATTCATTTTTAGGGAAGGAACATTTCTGAGAAACTTATGGGGAAGGGGGGCGGGGGCGGGCGAAGTACCAAAAAAATATTCGCGTAAGGGAAAGTAATCGGCTCCTGTGCACGTCAATCAGAACCCTAAAAAATATTCATGCTATGGCCTAAATTCGCTCGTGTGAGACTGAAGCTACTCTGAGCTACGCTAAACCTATTTTGAGAAAAAAACGACTTTTTTTAGTCTAAATTTTTTAATGGTACAATGTTAAAAAACCGTTGTGTGGTTAATATTTTCCTCAGTCAGAATGTACGAGGTCTACGAGGTGCTTATGTCGCAGGTCAACTGGGGGGGGGAGGGGGGTACTTCTGGGAATTCTTGGTGGCGGGGTTGTGCCGCCCGGTTCTCCAAATCCTGACCCTGTTTCAGACCAGAAAATGTCATTTTCCACACCCGTTATCAGACCAGACCAATAAAATCCATACCCGTTTTCAGACCTGGCCTTTCGGCAGAAATTATGTCATCATTACTTAGGGCGCTTTCCAAAAGTCAGAACTGGCCGGCCGGGCCATGGCTGCACCGCTCATTTTGAAAATGAAATAGGCTTTTTCCAAGAGTTTTTTATGAAAAAAGATTTCGTTCGTGCATACTATTTAGCATTTGACTGATCTGGCTGGATAGCTTTCATTAAAAGTAAAATTTTCATTACGAAGGGAATGTCCTGGCCGCCGGTCAGTTCTGACAAATGGAAAGCGCCCTTAGATTAGAGCGCAAACAAAAAATTTTTTCAAATGTATTTCGAATTCGCATATTCCTGTTTCGTTCTTATTCATTTGGAATTGATCGCATGAAACGATAAATATACGTTCATACGCTCCCGTAGTTCCCTCGAAAACCATAGCCGATTCCAGACCAAAATGGGCAAAGTGTATACCTGTTTTCAGACCAAAACGGCCCAAAAACCATACCCTTTGGGGCGGCACATACAGCATTAATCAATCAATCAATCAATCATCTTCATTTTAACTCGGAATACCATTCATAAAAACATGAAAAATGTTCTTTCAGAGAGCCGCACAAAAATCATGCAATAAAACAACATCAGTAGGTAACATAGTTATTAAAATGGTACGTAAATTACAAAAGTGAGATAAATGACTTCAAGCTTGTCTGTCCTTTAACAGCGTTTGATAGACGTTTCCGGAGAAGCTCCCCCCTGATCTATAGTGGAAGTGGTTTTTCCAACCTCAGTATACGGTCTTGGTACAAACGAATTATGTTTGAGTTTCTTAGATTATAGGAGTACATGGAGTTTGTACTATTAAAAATTTGAGCCAAATGATCTGGTGCAAAGTGATTTTTCAATTTATACATTATAGTGGCTAATTGCCTTGTCCTTCGTGTCTCAAAATTATCCCACCCAACTTCATCCAGTACCTATATGGCTTACATAAGGGAGTACCCCCCCTTCCCCCCACTGGACTGTATCCTTGACACAAATGCAGCGCAAATTAAAATTCCAAGCACTGATTTAGGTCGATTTACGCAGCTTTCGACAACTGCTACGCAGGCTATGATCAAAACACTTAGGGTCGGTTATTTAAACGAAGCGGTTTAACTTAGACCGCGGTTTAGGAAATCTTTGGACCTCCAGATCACTTCCCGTTAGTGGGCCAATTTAAGAAGATAAATGCTTCTCTTGCTACTCTATCTGCTTTAACGAAACTTCCCACGACAAATGGTGTTTAGATAAAAGCGATGGGCACTGAAGTGAACATGACTTAGAACGCGGTTTTGTTAAACAATCTAACCTCCGTTTAAATAACTGGCCCTTACACTTTCCAGAAAAAAACGATGCGACTTGAGGTTAGTGGATATTTTCCTTCTCATGTATGTTTTCAGACATCGTATCATTTCATTTTAAGATATAAATCATGGGCTCAAAAAATGACTCGACACATCCAGAACATCAACCTTTTTTTCGCACTGTTCTTGCGACTTAAAATTTTAGCTTTGGCCAACCCACGCTAACGCTCTAGTCTGAGTTTTCGAAGTAAAATGAAAAGACAATCCTTCAATTAGAAAAGTTTTAGACAGGGAGTACGTCAACCGCTTCCCAGCTCTTAGGCCTCTTTTCCCTGCTATTCGGCGGGCGTATTCCGGCTTGCCGACCGAATACCCATGAATACCAGGGAAAAGAGGCCTTTGCCAGCAACCTCGTCCCCAGGGCACTTTTCCCTGGCTTTGGAGGTGGGGCAGAAAAGCACCCTTGGGACGAGGTTGCTTTGCTAGCAGATTACGTCCGCACAGAAATTGAATGCGAATTTTTGTAATCGTTCATCGTTCTGCTGATAATGTTATCTTAAATTACTATACAATATAGTAGAAACTACTCAGTCTAAATTACTTGTTCGCTTAGCAAAAGATATTTATATGAGGAGAGAATCTTTCAAAACCTTAAACTATAAGCCACAGGGGGGGGCGGAAGGCTTAGAACCAGATGTAGTTTTGTTCACAGGTAAATGGGCCTACTTTTTATAACCAGGGGGGTCATAAGCGGAAGTTTTCAGTAATGCTTTTCTATACGACCGTTCCTGAACAATTTTAACTCGAAATTGCTTGGAACTGCTCAAGTTTCTTTATGACCTCTTCCATGCTGGGCCGCATAGTTCGATCTTCTTCAATACACCACAGTATCAACCCACCAAACTCCCTGTTTGTGACAAGTCTCACTTGCTCTTCACGACTTTCCAAAACTGGAATATTTCCTGTGCACATTTCACAGAAGAGGATGCCAAAGCTGTAAACATCAATCTAAACGAAAAAAAAATGCATAGTTCACCTTTCCCTGAAAATAAATTGACATTGCCCAAATCAATCCCACACAGTCCTAAATTCAGTTGTACCTGGACTACCTGTCGTAAAACACCGATTTCTGTTCACCATTTAGGCAAAAAAAATCAAGTAAAGAAAAGCCCATGAAATCAAAATTATTCCAGAACTTTCTTACGACTTGAAACAACTCCTACCGTTTGTGTATGCAAAGATGCGGTATTTGAGGGGTTTGCAAAGCTTTCTCGTTTTCAGTGCCGGATGCAGACCTTGAGATGGAGGGGGGGGAGGGGGCGGTGTCCAAAACAATTTTTTTCGGCCCTTCGGGCCTCAGTTTGGTCTAGAAATAAGGAGGGGGCTGCCTCCTCCACAGGCTTTCCCAAGGCTAAGTGGGGATTGGGGAACTCGCGAGCACGCGAAAAGCGCGAGAGAGGGGTGATGGGAACGAGCGTAGAGCGCGAGCGGGGAGTGATGGGAAGGAAAAGGAGAGAGCTTCGCTTTTTCTCCCCTTCCCATCACTCCCTTCGTGCCCGCTTTCCTTAATAATTAACTCAAATATCCCCCAGTGATCGCGAGCGACTGGGGACGAGGAGGGGGTGGACCCCCCGGGCCCCTAACCTGGATCCGCCACTGGTTTTTGTTTCTCTCTCCCATTTTCCTTCTCATACCCTGAGCCTGCGCTTTACTTCCCAATAGGGACATTACGAAACTACGACTGCGAGTGGGGAACGTCTCAAACACAGTAGGTTTTATGAGCAAAACAACAACTCTCCGGAACATACTCTGCACGTGCATCACTCTTTTTGTAATTTCTTTGCCCTCCCTGCATAACTACGACGTGAGATGACTAAATTTTGAGTTGATCCAAGAGAGAATGAGCTAGATCATTCTCTCTTGGTTGACCTGAGAAAGGGTGCGGTAAGGCGATAAATTTTTCTGTTTTTCTCTTTAGTTCAAGCCTAACTTTCCTACTTTCAAGTAACTGGGTGAATTGGTATAAGGAGGTTTCGAAGTACGCGAAGACCATTTTTAGCGAGTTTTTCATTGGTGTCGCCGTTGTCGGATCGTAAGGTCCCTAGTCGTTGTACAGCAAACGTGACTTGATGGATAACTTACACAGCAGAAGAGCTCAAGTTCAAACACCATTTAAAATTTTCTTTTGCAACAATAACTAATAAATATGAACCTAGCATATGGCCTCGCTCTCCATGAGTTCTCCGTAGAACCGAGTGGATAGAGCGCCCGCACTGGGTTTGGGAGGTCATAGGTTCGAATTCTGTCGGGCGTTCGGATTTTGTCTTTGTCCTACTCTCTTGATATGCTGATTATTTCATCTCCACAATAACCACATCCCCGTAGACTTGGGGACCGTCAGTTGGGTCGGAAGAAAAAGCGCAATGAACTGCCCCTGAGTCTCCGAGGATAACCCATGAATTTAACGTTACTTTGAACCGAGGTTCTGTAACAGCAAAAGAAGTATTTTGTTGCTGTTGTTACTGCTTTGATGGCAATAATTCATTCTCCTTTGCCTTCTGTTCACTCTGTTCCTCGAATTACCCTTAAGAATTAACCCCGCGCCCACCTCAAAACACATTCTTTAGTTTCCGGGAACAATAAGTAAATTCATTCTCGACATCACAGTCGGGTTTTTCTGTCACTAACAACAAGAAACTAACCTTGACTGTTTGATTATAAGGATTTCCTGCTTCGGGTGCACTGTAAATCATAGCCCCAACATCTACAGTCATGATCTCTTGCAGAAATTTAACAGTGCCATAATCTCCCAGTTTTCCTCGCCATTGGTCATTTTGTTTCCATAGCAACACATTAGCACTACTAACGTCACGGTGAACAATGGCTTTGGGTTTTCTTTGGTGAAGGTAGTTAAGGGCGTGAGCTACGTCCAACGAAATGGTAGTGATTTCTTTTCCACATAGCCGACGTTTCCCTAACAATTTTCGCAAGCTTAATTCCATCAACTCCGTAACAAACAAAGGTGATTCTCCTTGAGTTGCACCTATGAACTGTAACAAGCATGGATGACGGCACCTTGAAGCAATGTCCATTTCCCTTTCAAACAGTTCACGTTCTCGTGGAGTGAAAGTCAAGCTCTTAAGTGCTTTTACAGCAACGACAAAACCACGATATTTGCCTATAAAAACCTTTCCGTAGCCCCCCTCTCCTAGGAATTTTTCGCTCATAATTTCAATTTCATCTCGAGAAATCAACCATTCACGTGTCGTTAACAGGGACTCACATTTGCTTAATTTTTCTTTAGCTGTGGAAAGCTCCCTTTGTAGTTCAACATTGTCTTGTTCGCAATCTCTCAGCTCTTTTTCCAAGTCTGCAAGTTCTTTTAGCTTCAAATGAAACTGTTTCTGGAAGTTAACACTGTCTTTCTCTCCATCACCTCGAAAAGTGGTCAGCTGGCTTTGTGAATTTTGTTGTTGCTCATCTTTCTCTCTCACTTGCTCTTCTAATTCCATCACCTGTCTTTCTATGTTCTGTATATGTTTCTCCTTCTCTCTAAGCTCTAGTAAATGTTCCCGGCAACTTTGAGATTCATTCCGTTGTACCACTTAAAAAAAGCACTTTCTTTGAGTGTCAATGTATTTAGCACGGAAGTACTAATTGGGGACACTATTTTTACGTCTCCTACTGGAGACAGGAGACCGCCATTTTACGTGGTCATCCCTGTCACGCGAAGGTCTAGCCGTTAACAGGGCAAAGGGAGTATCTTTATTTCTCACTTATTTTAAGATCATCTGGTGAATTAAGGAATGGGGCACTGCAAATTTGGTGAAGGGTGGTCTGTTTTAGTAGGGATTTTACCTTTCGCACAAAAATTTTAAACTTAAAATCTACTCCCCATAAGCAGTTATTTTTCATTATTACTAATGTGTTATCTTTGTCACGTGACTTGCCACACCCGTTTTTGACTTTTTATTTCAATCCAACTTTACACCACGTTTTAAATAACACTTGCAATTCAATTTATTTTTTGTCAATGACTATTGTCACAGAGTTTTTTTGGAGTAAGTCGGAGTTTTCTTAAGTTATCTACATTTTGTAAACTATAACGTTTCTTGTTAAGAGGGAGGCTGGGACGAGAGAAAAATATCGAATAATTAAAAAGGAATTAACCATTTCACAAATCTCCGATCAATTCCGCTTATTGACTGTAAATGAAACATTATGGAAGGAAAAACGATAGTGTTCACATTCACTACCGTGGTGTAATCTGCAAAGTCCAAATTTTGCATAATTATGGGCGTGACTGATCACGTGATCTTAAGAAAATGGAGTTAAAAGTCCATTTACATTTACATTTTTGAAAAGCTTAAATGCTTCAAAGTTGTAAAAGCTTCCTCACCTTTTGGACCTGAGCATTTCTTCAGGGTGGTGACTTTACTTTTAATCGTTTGGCATAACTTTATTTTCTTGTGAAGAACCAGGCCTAATACGATCAACACTAATAGCATTATGACAGCACGATACACCCAAATCTCATCCTGAAACATCTTTCTCGCTTTAATATCGGCTGGTATTGGGATATGGTCAACTGCAAAATATAAATTAGTAAGAACCTGAATTCCTTTTTACAACAATTATCAACGAAAAGACATGTAGCAAATTAAGGCTAAGAAAAAAGTACTCTCACACTTTTATACAAAGTCCTGGCAGCACAAAGCTGTAGTAAAAGCCTAATACTAAAACTGCAAGTTTACAGAGCAGCTGGTAGTTTTTGGAACTGGCTGACGTTCATAACCATTTCCCATCCAAGAGTCCCATATCTTTGGTCTCCTTCCTGAGAGTGGCACATGGCTCTCTTTGGTGTACTCAATTCTAACCAATCAAACATGCCTATTTCTCTTGTTTTAGAAACTCTATTGTGCTATGACCAATAGGAATTTTTTCCGTGCGTTTGGGTGATAAGATTCTCTTTCTTCTTTGATTATAAGATAATCAACAAAACAATGTACACGTTTTGGACTGTCTTCTAAAGGAGACAAAGGAAATCGAGAATCAACCAAGGTTAAAAACAACCTCGTTCCCATGGGTAGGAGAGAACCCTGGAAACGAGGCTCGGTTAAAAACTATTAACCTGAATTTAATTTTGTCTTGTAACAATTACATGGCATGTACAGTACCTCTTTCAACAAGCTTAGTCCCAGTAACTGGTTCTTGAGAGTTTATATGTGGAGAAGAGGAAGGGCGAGTACTTTTTAGAAGTTTCCTACAAACAGTGTTTCGTTTTGGTGAACACTCCTCCACCACAAACTCTCCTTTATGGCAGCGATCGCATGGTACACAATGATTATTTAATAAAAAGTTTTCCTGAAAAGATAATAACATAAATACAGTTGCAGAAGAACCACAATTTAAAACAAAAAACTGCAAATGCACAACATGATATCTTCACATGAGAAAATAACATGTTATCTTCGCACATGCTATGGCTACAAAACAAGATAAATCTCACCTTTCGCAGAAAGAAAACGAGATATGTGAAATGGTTTGGTATTTCAGTGGTGTCTATACATAAGAAATAGAACATTACCAGATACAAAATTTTCTCTCTCGTGTCCAAATATATTTGTCATATTACCGTCCAATATAGCTCTCGACCAATCGCAAGGCTGTGCGCTAGCAGTGTCCGGTGACTCCAATGAACTTTTGCTCCTAAGTGACCAGAAAATCTTCGACTTTCTTCATATAAATCATATGCTTTGCACCGTGACCCTAGATTTCACAGGTTCAGAGGTCTGTGCTCTCTGAAAGCACAGCCTTGAATCGGTGCGCAAGAAATCCTCAGTTGTTGTAAATCACTCCTGAGTTCAAACCATTCACTGTATTCTCGGTTTTCACAATGACGTCACCAAAATTCAAACTAAGAAACTATTGATTCTTCTGAGTTTCTACTTTCATGAGGTATTACACCACCTAAACACTTTTGTTTATACAAATGGCCAGGAAAGCTCTTACGTGGGTTAAAAACGTTACCGACATTTCTTGTCTCAGAATAAATATTACTTTAATCTTCATGAGTTCCTCAAGCAATGAATACACGCATTTGTAGGAGAACTCAAATTAGACAGATGTTTCTGTTGGTTTCCGTCCGCTAGATTTATGCCCCTCAAAGGGACACCAACATGGCGCTGTCATACAAAGCTATATAAATTTTGGTGAAACCTTTTTTCCTAATATCTTGCATACGACATATCGCAAAGATTCCTTGGCGAGGCTTCTTTTATTTCCCAGGTTCTAGACTTTCTGTATTAAATGGTCTGCATTTTTATTTTTGATGGCATAACAGTGAGAACAGAGAATTAACAACATGAACCTGATCACATAAAAGCAGCCTACAGCTATTTTCTTACCTTGTCGCAAGTCTTACATACTGCATCCTTGTATTTTTTACAACGAGATACCAATACTTGGCCCTTTTTTATACAAGATGTGCATTTTTTACATTGAAGTGAGTGCCAATCCCGATAATAGTCATCTGAACAATCGCATTGAACATCACTAATTGAAGAGCAATTTTTCACCATTGTTTCCTTCTGATCTCGACAGGATGTTCTACAGTTACGACATGACGTATCTTTATTTTCTTTGGCATTGTATGTGCCTGAACGGCAAGGCGAGCACTGTGTGTCATTAGCTGACGTCTGGCATTCTTTGCTCATAAAGTGGCCCGCAGGACAAAGATTGCAGCAACGTCCAGTAACTGATGAACGAAACTGTCCTGTAGGACAGCTCAGTCCACACACCAGGCCACACGCCACAAAAGACTGAAACAGAAGACAAAGAAGTATATTAGAGACCTTTAGATTCTAAGACGAGTACGACTACAAGTACGACATGTCTCAATACTAAGTAGTGCTCGCCAGTGAACCAGCGTCCTTTTGGCGGGAAAACGTGGTAGCCGTTATCAGATGTTAGAAGTTTTATCATTTTGCGATGGGGAAAGCGCGTAACCTCCTTCACTAATTAAAGGTAACAGTGCTAATTTTTCTAGTGAAATATGGTAAAAAAAAGCTTTCCAGGAAGTCTATATTTTGCGAATACACGAAAAAACATCAAGTCAAATCTCGTACTCGTAGTCGTTCTCGTCCTCGAATCTAAAGGACTCTATTATCTCTGTTAATGTAAAATGAGGCACTCCAATATTACCTTCTTTCAGAAGTGAACTAGGTTACCCTGCGAGCAGAGGCCACATTTTCCAGGTGTGATCTGCGCGCCGTGCGAAACGTAGCCTCTGGCGCCAGCTCAAACCTCGAAAATGTAGCCTCTACTCTCAGGGTAGACATAGGTACACATGAGCCACCTCACTGAGAGTCAAGCCCATTGGGGCAGGCAAGGGAAAATGTTTGTATAAAAAAGGAAACTGGCAGCAGTTTAAAAGGGATGGAACTATTACAGTTAAACGCACTTTAAATATGTGGTTTAAATTTTTTTGTGCATTAAAATTGGTTTTGGTCGGTTTTCAATGCAGGATAGTTTTCTCAAGAAGGACTGCAACTTTGTTAACTTCGTGAAACAGGAACAGCTATTAGGGAGTTTTAAGTTGTCACGACGGTGACGACAACGAGAACGTCAAAACAGCCATAGGTTTAGATTAAAAAAACTCTGCACTTGCAGCACGTTTTCCTTTTTGCGGTATCTTTCTTTGCTGTCACTGCAAGACGTTGCCTAATTTCACGCTTTATCTAGAACGTGAACAAACGACTACGAATTTCTCTTTCTAAACTTCGATATATTTCTTAAGAATTCAACTCAAGAGGAGTTGGCCTACTTGGATAAAGAGAGCGAGTTTAAATAATCTCAGGGGCACCCAACGAGAGTATAGTTCAAAAACACATAAACATAGCATTGTTGAACGTACTTTAGTATTTAGTCGGTAGATAAAGGCTTATTTTTATCCCCTAAAAATTTTTCATCTGTTCGGATTTCCTAGCTGAAAGTATAGTGATCCGAAAATTATACGGATCAAATTTACCTTTTCGAAAATTTCAGCCAGAAAAAAGGCTCCCGAAAATTCTAGGTGACCTTTTTAGGGTAAAAATCCGTTAAAAATAGGCAATAATACGATTTTTTTGAAGTTCGAAAATCCTAGGAGAGGCAGGCAAGCAACAAATTTGTCAGAAAATGATCCGAAAATTCTAGACCTCAAATCGTCTTCCGAACAGATAATTTTCCGAAAATTGTCGTTGGGTGCCCCTGTAATCTCTCTGAAGTTTCAAAGAAGCCAACGGGAAGTTGACTTTTTAAGTGAAGTTTTCGCCTCCGTCGCTGTCTCTTAAACTATATCAGATTTTGACTATCATTGAGTCAGTTCCTATCCGAGTTGGAGTAGGTCAGGCTATCTGCAGATTGATTAGTTACGCGAATGACCGGGCATTTCATCCAGCTTTTAGAAACGGAGCTTTGGCTACTTTTTGTTATAACAACGCATTAAACAACCACAATTTATTGCAACCTGAATTTGATTCTTCTCGACGGGACAAGGTTCCAAGAATTTTTCAATCATGTAATCCCCGAATACTTCTTCTTCGTTAGTGCATTCCATGCAATTTGGTTGAACATTTGATTGCGTTTATTAACTCTTATCAAAGATATAAGGAGGCCACTGAATTGTTGGCTCTCACTAGTTCTTCTGAAGAACTTGGCAAACTGAATGGAAAGCTAAGACAAGCTGGGATTTAAATTTTCTGAGTTGGGTTGCTAATGTACATGGGCTTCTGACAGAGGATAGCAAATATGAACTTTATTTCTATCCCTCACGCTAGGAAACCCCTCCGCTAGACGCGAAGCCAGTACACATGAACTTTTGCCTGGTCTCTGTATGGCGTTTTTCCTGGCCTTCCCGATCAATTAACTTCGGTGACGTATACATGTATATTCTTATACATGTATATCCGATGGACCCCGATGGCAAAATTTTTTTGGGGGGATCACTGACTTTCTTGGGAGTACTCATCTCCATACTCCAAACTGACATTTCCCTCTCACAAGACATTCTGAGACATTTCCCTTTTCCTACATGAAATTTCTAAGTACAGAATCTAGGTATCTTCAATTTTTAAGGAACAAAACCTTAGAAGGGCGTGAGTACGACTTGAACCCGAAGCGTAGAATCTGCAGTCCATCTCCCGTACCATTACGCCACTGAGGATTTGCTGACGATTAATGGTTTGATTTGAAGATACATAGCAACAACACTAACCCCAAATAGAACCTAACCGTTTATCACAAGAGGTGACAAGAGGTGACCAAAAACTCATCATGAATACTTGGGCCCATTCTCCGACAAGTCAAAAATATTGTACAAGCCTATCCATGTTCCTAAACGATTGTACAGACAGTAAAATATGACTTTCGGGTACGTGTGTTCAATTTGGTGCTTCTCGCCTATTTATAAGGTAACAACAGGAAAGTTTGTTCGATTGACGCTTGATTTCTTTTAATTATGAGCTTATACTTAATTCTATTTTTAGACCACATCAAGGCTTTATAATTTACAGTTGACTCCCGATAACTCGAACCTTCAAGGGAAATCGAAAAAAGTTCGAGTTATCGGGAGTTTGAAGCAAATAACCGGAAGTATAGGCTCGATTTCCGCCGTCTCCTGGGTCCGGTAGGAGTGCGGGCTCATTTTCCCGAACAGCGGCTGGTAATCGAGCCTCCAGGAAGTAAGGAAATAAGGCCTGGTTCAGACGCCGTACTTTTCATGTGCCGAACCTAACTGAATAAGTTCGACTTTGGAGCGACACTGGCGCGACATCTGATTCAGACGGCGTACCGTGTGTCGAACCTAAGTTAAGTTCGACAAAAGTTCGACAGACTCTGTCGAACTTAACGCTTTTGCCGCACCAAACTAAAACTGCCGTACCAAATTGATGCAGACGCCGCTCTTTTGCCGTACTTAATTCATCAGTTAGGTTCGGCACATGAGTGGAGCGGCGTCTGAACCGGGCCTAAGACAGTCGGGAAATAAGCAAATGGATGGGGAGGCAATGCAATTAAGCAACAAAGTATACAGGAATGGACACTGAATTTGAACTGGAGTGACAAAAAGGTAAAGACAAAGAATCGACTCAATAAATTCAATGTTTCGGACTTCAGTACACAGTTTTGTCTCCCGACCTGTCACGCGCTTATAACATGGTTCGAGTTATCGAGGGGAAAATTGTATAGAAATGATCTGAAGGGAAACAAAAATTACTTCGAGTTAGTGGGAGGTTCGAGTTATCGAGGGTAAGATTACAGTAAATGTAATAAGGAAATCCAGGGGAAATCGACTTTGGTTCGAGTTAGCGCGAGGTTCGAGTTATCGGGAGTCAACTGTGGGTCTCACGGTTCAGTGACAGTTGCGAGAAAATATCAAACTGATACGGAATTTTGTCGCTTTAAACGTAACCTATGATGGGCATGTTTCTGAAAAACTTTCGAGTTTCAGTCGTCGAAAAAAGGAAAAAAGATGATCAAAATAAACTTGTTCAAGATCATGTTAAGCTCAAAACGTTTTTCCAAAAATCGTGATTGTCGCGTGCACAGCAAAAGATTTTGATGTAAACAAACCGTAAAAACAACAGGAAACGGCTGTACAAGTAAAACTAATTCTATCGTTAATTTACGGTAAAGTGATTGTTGCCTTATACCGGCTTAGTTTAGCTTTGTCTGCCAAAAAACATTTTTGTTAACTCTTCTGCCCTTATTTTGAACAAACTTTTGAATTTTGGGTTTCTTACGCAAGAACCAGGAAATATTCAACCAATCGCAAACCGGTATTTTGAGACTACACTATCGGTTTAAAATGACATCAAAAGAGACACCGCTTAGATCGCGATAAAAAGAGGTACTTACCAAAGGAATCACCCAAATAGTAATTCTCATCTTCTAAACGACGAAAACATATCTTCTTGACACTGCCATAGACGAAACTACTGGCAAAAAGGTCAACAAAAACAACTTTCGGACTTTTCAGATAACTCTCAAGTTGATTGGTTAATTGAGGGGGATGGCTACTTCGAGAACCCACCAATAGAATTGATCTTTAGATACTGCATTTTAACGACATTGCAAAACAGGTCGGGGCCGACATAGTTAAGAAACTACGAATCTTTTACACGTAAAATTACAGATGTTGAATAGAACATATTTAACTGATTTAGCACTCTCGTATATTAAAGTTTCTGCCTTTAGTTACGAGCTGGAGGAGGTGCTGATTGCGGCAGTTACAGATTCACTCAGGGGACCTCGTGACTTTATTAATGACACACTCTGTTTTACAGAAAATTATCGGCAAGTGTAAAGGAGGTGTAGTGGTGTGGACTCTTTTTTTAGTTAAGATCTTTTAAGTTTAATTTTTGTTGACATTTTTAAGATAATTGACTTATTAAGATTACACCTGATATTGACAGAAGAAATTTGTGTTTCAATATCCTGAAAAACTAAACGTATTCAGTACAATTTTCTTTTTTTCACCTTAATTTATGCTTTTAGTGCTTAACGACCTGTCAATGTGTAGTTTCAGAAAATATCCATACCCCCCCCCCACCCCCAGAGGACGGGCATTTTGTTTTAGAACCCCCACCCCGCTGGAATTTCCATTCCAGGGGGTGCTTATCATACCCAACCCCCTGGAATTTCCGTAATTTTTCAACTTGATTAGGTACCCTTTGGAAATAATATTTGTTTAAAAAATGTTGTTGCATTATATTATTATGCGAAAGATATTTTTTTCTGCGACAAAATGAGAACAAATCTTTTCATTCATGTTAATACGGTGTCTAATAATCTCAAGGACGTTCTTAGCTAATAACTAGGAGTAATCGGAGCTTAGGAGAATGCGTTCGATATGTTTTTAAGGCCTACAGGTAGCAGTTGAGGGGGAAGGGTGGTTGCCATAGATAAATATGATTATGGCATATTTTGAACGTAAGGGTTGCGTACTGCGAAACCTCAATTTAAACTGTTTATCATTATAAGAAGGTTTTGAAAAGATGTCATATTGTTCGGTTTCAAGTGCTTGTAATCGGAGGGGACATTGGCCAGAGTTCGTCGGGCGTGTAAATAGAACATTTTGTTTTACTGGCGCGATTACAGGACGCAGTTGCTCCAAGGCTGATTAGAGCTTAACCCGGGATTCTTTTTCTTTCTTCAAAAATAATTTCTTCGGATAATTTTCTCTGTTATTTCTAAGAGCATCCAATCATCAACTTGTTGACAAAATGAGTTAAATTGAATGTACTGTTTTAAAAGCTTTCACATCTGAATTCAAACTTCGCACAAACCCTGTCAAAGCCTGCAAGTGTGCGGCTCACGTCAATAACTTTTCCAGTAATTTGGTTGAGCGTGTTGATTTCAGTGACTCGAGAGTGGCGCTACTGTGGGCTGGTTTACAAGTTTTTGCTAATAAACAACATAGAGTTAAGTGTTCGTTTGTCCAGTGCCGAAAATATCACAAGTCATGATCAAATGGCGCAGCCGAGCTTCACATCTCGGTAGATTTACTTTGTGGCACAGCGGTTGCCGAACTACAGAACTCGGTGGAGATACTTTGTGACACATTGGCCGCCGAGCTACACAACTCGGTTTCTCTTTTAAATCCGTCTAGTTCTTAACAGCGCGATTGCAAATCACGACGTTATTATTACTAAAGGGAATTAGATTTTTTCTTCTCGGTTTTCACGCGCGCTTGCAATTCGAAAGTCATCTTAAAAAAAGTTTGCATTATTAATTTTGACCCTAATAACGCGCCATATGAAACACTGGCCAAACAGTAAAATAACTGATAGCTTGCTCAACAGAGAAGCTGTTATTTATTAATAACTCACCGATCTTACTCAGACCCCCTGGAAGAAAACCTCTGTAAGCGACCCCCACCCCCTCAGAAATTGCCTCCTTTTGGACCCCCCCCCTCCGCTCGGAATTTCTGTTGCCCTCCGTAGCGGGGGGGGGGGGGGGGGAATGGATATTTTCTGTAAATTTTCGCAACTTTGTGCGAGTTATATCTTCGTCCCTTAGGACGTATCAAGGACATATCACTCTCATATTTAGCAATTTTACTAATCGATGAATTTTCCCTAACTAGTCCATGTTAAAAGTTGAAATAACCGTGGAAGGTCTAGGCCTAGAAACGGAAATCGGTGAAGATTTCTGCCGGTATAAAATATATTTCAGAGCAAGCCTGTGTACCGAACTTATCACTGCAAAACTGCAAAACCGGTGCAACCTAACAGAAACGGATGTTGAACCACACACACAAGTTGGCTCAGCTATGGCACAACTTAGTGTCGGACTGTTTTATGTAAATTAGCCGAATAAAATAGCTGTTGCCGATAACAAAAAGTAAAAATAAAAACCGGTTTAGCAAACTTTGCATGTAAAATGTATTCTATGTGTTAAGAAACGAGCCTAACCTCGCGATAATCATTGGGCACCAAGCCCACTTTGTTACTACGGCCGCTTTCGGTGATTTGTCCCGGTGTCACAGCGTTTTGGGCATCCCCATTCCCATATCCCTAGCGTTTTGGGCATCCCCGGTGGGGGATGCTCAAAACGCTGATCACTTCGACTTTGCCTAAATTATTTCAGACTGGGGAAAAGTCGGGTTTGTTAATCACGAATTTACGGCTAAATAGTGTTGATGCATGTTAGAATTATATCGTCCGACACTTTTTGCCGGGTTAATTGCGCAGAAAAAAACCCATAGGCAGTAAACGTTGGCTCAAAACATGATGAAACTGAAATTTACAACCGCATAATCGATGCACAACACTTTATTGTTTGCAAAGCTTTCAATTTTATTTAATAGAACTGTTTACAAGCGAGCAATGCCGCAATCGCCGGCAGCTGCGATCGTCTGCTTCCAAACAGCCAAAAACAAGAATACTAAACAAAGGAATCAAAAGGTAAACATGAATAAAACTGCGTTTTGCGGTGTTGCATTCATAGTATTCATGACATTTGAGGCCTGTACGACCACAGGCAGACCACCCTCTGTTAGTGGGGGCCGTTGTTGATTGAAATCTGAGCAACGATCTTTTGTTATTTATAGAAGAAATACATATGAACAATACGGTGGCTGTAATTTGTTCCAAAATGCAGAATTCAAAGCAAATTTTTCAATAAACGTTTGAGGAAAATGCTAACTGAGCCATGTGTCATGTTTTTTTCGCCGTGTGGTGCTGTTTTAAGCGCTATTTTGCGAGATGAATATTTGACCTCGGCGGTTAGAACTAAAGAAGGAGACAAGGCAGGCAGCAATCAGCCGCCCGTGCGTGACCCAGTCCAATTTACGCTGGAACTGACGCCAAACTATTTAATTTCTTACCTCGAAAATACCGGCTCCCGATCCAGTAGATATGTATCCATGCCCCATCCGAATGAGAGCTCAGTCCTTCCAAAATTTCTCGAGAAAAGCGATCCTGAAGTTGAAAGACCAGCTTTCTCAACATGACCGGTGCACAAAACTCAACCAAAGGCATTTGAGGTATGCGCGTCGATTCAAATCCACCAATCAGCGTATCACGACCAAACAAACATCCCTGTGCGGGGTAGGGTTGTGGTTTTGAACTGCCAACGGTCGTGATACGCTGATTGGTGGATTTGAATCGATGTACATACCTCAAATGCCTTTGGTTGAGTTTTGTGCACTGGTCATGTTGAGAAAGCTGGTCTTTCAACTTCAGGATCGCTTTTCTCGAGAAATTTTGGAAGGACTGAGCTCTCATTCGGATGGGGCATGGATACATATCTACTGGATCGGGAGCCGGTATTTTCGAGGTAAGAAATTAAATAGTTTGGCGTCAGTTCCAGCGTAAATTGGACTGGGTCACGCACGGGCGGCTGATTGCTGCCTGCCTTGTCTCCTTCTTTAGTTCTAACCGCCGAGGTCAAATATTCATCTCGCAAAATAGCGCTTAAAACAGCACCACACGGCGAAAAAAACATGACACATGGCTCAGTTAGCATTTTCCTCAAACGTTTATTGAAAAATTTGCTTTGAATTCTGCATTTTGGAACAAATTACAGCCACCGTATTGTTCATATGTATTTCTTCTATAAATAACAAAAGATCGTTGCTCAGATTTCAATCAACAACGGCCCCCACTAACAGAGGGTGGTCTGCCTGTGGTACGACTTAACCCCGCAGCGCTACTTGATACAGGAAAGGCTGTCACACAATTACAGAGGCCTCAAATCATCAGAAATAACCGGAGGTGGGGTGACAATTCCCCCACAAAAAAACCTGCAGTGCAAGGGAAAGGCATGTCTAGAAAAAAATCCTGTAGTTATGTAGTTATGATAAATGGACGCTCCAATGATGGTCACTAGAAGATATGTTGTTCTTGGCGCACGGGCGTGACAGCCGGCGTGCCAATATGGCGGCGGCAGGAGAGAAGACCCTGGCACACAGCAGAAATCACGTGACTGATTTGTCCACGGAGAGTGGAAATTTATTCAAAATGGCGGCCAAGATAAAGACTGAGAGGATCTGGGTACGAGGTCTTGAGACTGGTGAAAAACAAACAAAATGGCGGCAAAGACAAACTCAAAAGAAGCTGAAAATATGAAAGAATGCACTTACAAGCCACAGGAATACGGTAGAATGATATAGCGATCTTATTTTCTGTTCAATGACCTTCATTTGCTTTAAGCCTGAACGTTCTGTAGCGTACACGGCACTCGATACCGACCTTTTTTCACTGTTTACTTTTTTTGCCCACCCTGAGTGCCAGAGGTTCAGTTTTCTTTTTTCGTGAAAGGGGGAGCTTTTTCTAACCGTGAGCGCAATTTATTTCATCTTAGGAATTTCGAGAGCAGACCTCAGAAGCCAGGGAATTTTTTGTCATGACGCTCTAAAACCTCTTCCGTTCCGAAATTCAATGAACTAAGCATTAACTTAAGTCGCGGACACTTTAAGCTGATAA